GATCAGTTATGATTGGAAGCACAAGAAAAACCCAAACCACGCTACACACGCAAATACAAAGAGGTGAGAGCCTCAGGTGGGCACCATCTCACCCAGCATCTCTTTCAAGTGGCCCCTTACCCACCCGGTCAGGAAAACACCCTGATCTGTACCAAAATGCCATGCAAGCCACCAGACTCCATGTTTACGTGGGCTATCCATGAGGCCATCAATTACCAGCACAGCAGCAGAAAATCTTCTTAGAGATCCTCCACACTCCCCACCCCTAATCCATCCCAACCTGCCAGAGGTGGTTTCCTTACCACCACCCTCCAAATTCAGGAGGGTTTTTTGTTCACCCGTGCTTTACCTGCACCCATCTCCCGTCAACTCCTCCTCCAACCCGAGCTTCTTCCATCAAGAGTTAACAGGGCTGGAGGTAAGGCCCAGTGACACCAAGTATCGAGTGTCCCGCTGTTTGCTCGCCTCCACCTCCCTCCTTGGGCAGGGATGCTCTCAGCCTCCTCCTTTAATGAATTATCCAACACCCTGTCAGCACTCGGGCTGCGATGAGGTTTATGCCAGCAGCACCGCTCAATGAGATGTTGAGATCTCACCCGAAGAGTGAAGGCTGAGTTTGAAGACGAAGCGATGGGCTCTGACCTTTCTTATGGGGAATTTGAGCAAATCCAGGCAAAAAAAATAATAATCTATCCCCCCCGAACAGGCTCCTCGCCCCTTCCCACAGCCCCCGGCTTGGCTCCCCACTAGAGGTCACTGCAAAACCCTTTTTAATTTGCAGCTTGAAGTTTCCACGGATTATCTTTCTTTTTTCTCATGTGCCACAGTCAGTTTCATCCCCAGAAAAAGGACTTTTCAGGTTGGACTCTGACTGCTAATGACTCCCACACGATGCCACCTCCTTGTCCTCCTCTGCCCGGCTGTCAAAGACAACAGCAACAAATATCTTCCCATGATGGCTTCTCTGCACAAATAATTCTCAACAGAATAAACCCCCTCTGTTTGGGTAGCAAGCGACCTCTCAGCTCTGATCAAGCATCCTCTGGACAATGCATCAACCCTGTAAAGAGCTCTGTATTTAAGCAGCCTCACACCCAAGCCCAACCTCACTGAATAACGAAGGTGTCCTTGTAACGGGACTCATAGCGAGATCAGGGTCTACAGAAGTGGAAGAACCCTTCCTGCACCACAAGATATTTTTGCCCAGTCCTACAGCAGTATTAAGATGTTGGATATCTTACCTCGGGGCTCAGTCATTGAGCAAAACATGCGAACAGTACGATGCGGGAAGCTGA